TTTTTCGTTCTTTTGACCAAGGTCATAGCAGTATGTTATCATTTGATCATTTTTTTTAGTGCTATTGTCATCATGAATTATGATATGCCTTGAAATAATCGTATTGATTTGCTTAATATTTAGAAAAGCAACGATTTTCGACATCGACAAGATGATGCATAGATCTCAATATACTATGATCATCAAATATTTCGATGTTTTAATGATTATCACAGTACGAATCGGAGTGTTCGTCAAGATCCTAGCAAAAGAGTCGGTCAAACGAGGACATCCCTTACGTAATTTGTCAAGACACTGCAATGCATGATCATAATTTATTTGTCGACATAGAACATCAATATTGAAAATAAGTTTATGTAAATAATCGCAATTATACTCTTCAAGTAGAACTTATAGAATATTTTACTCAACATATGGATTAAAATCGACAAATAATATCCAGCAATTGCTAGTTATTTACTAAACATTTGATGATACCGGTATTTAAATTTAGTTTTCATGCATTGAATTTAATCTAAAAAAATACAAATATTTGTTGTTGAACTTCTGAAATATCTTACTGATAGACTTGAAAATTAATTAAAAAATTTCGAAAACAGTTTGATTTATATCAGTACTTTGTTCGAATGAAATGGGATGGAACACAAAAATCATCCCATGCAACTAGTTGGCTTGTTCCAACTAATCCCATGAAATTTCTCAGAAAAATTTCCATCTTATCTCATCCCATCTGTTCTATGAGACAATGCGTTCAGTATAAAGATGTTTTTCAGGATTGAACTGACTTTCATGTGTGTCGATATTAATATCATCTCCTGTTGATTTCCCTTGCTTCATTCCTCTTTATCTTATCTCTATTGTTCTTTCTTCTGCTTATATCTCTTTCATAATCTATCCTATACAAGTGTGCTTTATGTGAAATAGTTACATTCTGGAGATATGAAGTAGCTAAATAAACATCATTACTGAGAATAGCGATAAGCTACTCCTGCAGTTTGTCGTTACGTCATGATTTTCTTATTCTATTATCTCTACTTTCCTCTATCTGTTTCCGTTTATGTTAATTAATTTCACATATTAACTTTTATACTATTCATAGAAATCACATTTGTTTCTTTTGAAAACAAAATTATGAATCTAAAGTATTCAGATCTTGTTGAACTCCAACAACTACGATACTCAATTCATCGCAATTGATTGAGATCCATTTGAATTCTTTGAATTTCATCAAGATTCATGAACTGCTATTTTTCTTTAAAAGTTTCGACATCATGTTTCTAAGTATTAAAAAGTAATAATACAACTTCTTCAGTGCAGTTTTCATCCATGAACTCTGACCGTTTGATGAGTTTACTTAATTTTTTCAGATCATTAAAGATCGTCGAATATTCTTTCACATTTTGATGTAATTTGATACATTGCTTTAGATCTTACTGGACTTTGATTATTTTTGTGATTGTTAAGATTCGGTAGAATCCGTTAGGAATTTTAATCAACCAATTCGTTTTCTCTAAATTAAAACATAGAGAAAAATTACGTTGAAAATCAACTGGAAACGTAGATGGTAAAGATTCTTCATCATCATGGTATTTGATTCAAATCATCAACAGTACACCGGAAGTGTATTGAAAAGTTTTCGTTAGCTGGGAGCACAGAGTATTCCATAAAGTCAATGCTATTTTCTATTTGTTAAACTTCTATAAAAATATCAAAAGTTTTAAAATGAAAAAAATACAAAGAAAAAAGTAAGAACGAGTAATAATAAGAGTATAATAAATTCTATTACCAAATGTATCTATAAAGTATTTTGAATCTATCTTCTATCAGACAGATTCTAAAATTTTTCGTAAGAAAAGAAAATTTCATGGAACAAAAAATTCGTCTCATTATAAGCTCTGATTCATATGTTTCTCACATGACCAGATTATCTCATAACATGATATATTCTTTGGCTGTTGATAAGTAACAGACTTTTATAAGATCATCAGCATACGTTTCTTTTGTCACGATGACCATAAAGTGCATAAAAGACATCTGATTCATTCGAAAATGTTCAAACTATCTGAATTATTTTAGCGTTTCAAATTATTGATTTTTTTTTTATGTATATTAACTGTTGTAATTTAAACTTACAAGATAGGAAATGTGTAGCATTATTTTAGAAATCTTGATAAATTGTTTTGATCTTTCTTTTTGAATTATCATTTATTTTCTTTTAAGAACTATGTAACTAACTTAAATTATCGAAGAATAGAGGAGCAAGAATAATAATGAGAAGCATTTAAATGAACAGTGAGATATGTAACAAGACTAAAGTAATAGCTAACAGAGACCATCATGAGGACAGCACTGCCCTGATGTCCTATCCTATCCTACAAGACAAAGATTTTTTTTTGAGCCTGTCCTGCTTGCCCTACAGTATAACCAGAACAGGACAAATTATTTTGCCCTAGTAAATTATGTACCAACCCTCAAGTTCTAGACATTTTCTTAATCAAAATTTTTAATCTTTTGTACAGTTACATGAGGCAACGTTATAAGCAATTCACTTTTACATTTTATTCACTATATCTCTGAAAGACAATCTTTATGTTTCGCTATTGGTTATTCTTTGTTTTCTGTAAATAGAATAAAGATCAGAGATCGTCATCATCAATACAGGGTGCTCAGATGTCTTGGTGTCCTGACCTCAGGACAAGACGAAATAATTTGCCCTGGTAACAATTTTTTGAAAAAAAGTCATTTGAAATCGATTACTAAATCCAGACATAAATCTTTCAGAACATTTATCATCTATGTAATTCTACCAATTAGTGATGATTTCATATTTAGATCGATTCCATTAGAGCTTATGTATATAATAATCATTCTAATTCATCATCGTTCACTACAATCTTTTTCGACTTCGAAAAGATTGAACATCTCTTATCAAGTCATAAGGGAATCAAGCAAATCGTAAAGAGAAATGAATCTCAACCTGGGGCTAAATAGTGATGAAAGACTTCGAATCAACTAAATAATGATACTTAGTCACATAGAATCACTGTTTTCATTGATGGATATCTCATTTTTGTATGAATATGCTTCTACTATCATGTGCCCATGATGAAAAGGGCAAGATATTGTATTAAGAAATATTACTTTTTTTGTCAAGAATAAATTGAAATAACACTATTTTTACTCGAGTATAATCTGACTTTTAGTTGTCAAGGTTGATCTTCTTTATTGTCAAAGGTTTTCTTTTTGAATTTCTTCTAATCGATCAAAAAGATTTGTTAATTTTTATTAATTAAAATATATTAATAAGATTCACTCCAAAAAAAAAAATTGAAAAAGCCTAGAAATTAGAATAAATGAAATATTAGTTTAAAATCAGATTATAATTGATTAAAAACTGTACAACTTTAATCGATTCTTGACGGGACTCATGATTGTTTTTATATATGAATAATATTCTTTTAAAATTACATAGATATCACATCATCATAATCACAAATACAGCAGTAATATTGATAGATAGGATGTGAGTGCATGAGGATGAAGATAAAGAGAAAATTCACACACACCCACATTGTTAAAAATAGTTATGTTGATTATTTTGACATTATCTCACGAATGATTCCGCCGTTCGAGTTCCAAATACTTTTAAACGAATATGAAGAGATGAATTCATTACATGATTTTATTTGAATGATAACTATAGAGAAAAATGATCAAATTTTAAATTAAAAGAAAAAATTATTATTTTTTAAATGTTAAAATTTTACGAATAAATCTATGACGAATAATCTTAGATATTCTTTTCATTTCTTGATTAATTAATTCAACTAAACTGTATCACAATTCAATAGTATACCCATAAGCTAGATTATGAAAATATAATTATTTCGATATGTTAAACCAAAATCGATTTGATGATTCATAGTGCAAAAAACACAAAATAATAAAATCGCCAAATTTTAAACATGTACAAACCCTCGATGATTCTTTGTAGAGAGAAAAATATTTTTTCGAACCCGCAATATAATAACAACGATTACATATTTATCCAGTTTCACAAGCAGTTCGAAGCATGACTTATTCATACATTAATTATATTAGTAAGTTGTTGTTTACGCTTCACTGGATTGGCTGTTTATCTATCACAATATTTAACATACCTTCAAACCTATCTACCTTCACTTTCATCTAACTTCGTAGCACAAAACATATACATATATCTATACAAGGATGGGAGCTCGCCAGAGTCGTGTACCATACAATCAATGGGATTTGAATAGATTATCACAAACTACTGGTTTAGATCCTGATCAAATTTCAGAAATCCATCAAGAATTTAAAAAAGCAGCTGGTCATGATGGACAATTGAGTATGAAAGAGTTTAGTAAAGTGTATAATCGGTTTCCTGGTGCTCAACGACAAGATTCACGATATATGGAAGCTCAAATTCCTCGTATTTTTCGTACATTTGATCGTGATGGTACAGGCAAACTTTCATTCGATGAATTTCTTAGTGGTGTTGTTATGATGAATCATGATACGCCTCGACGTGATCGTATTGATTATCTTATTAAACAAAATAATAGTTATGGACAACAGTATGGTGATGGACGAATTCCATATGAATATGGTCAAGAAGTCTTTCAACGTCTCAATGATTATTATGGTTTACCTCCCGGCATGGAACAACAATGTTGGCAACAAGTTGATGTGAATAATCGTGGTTATGTCACTCAAGATGAGCTTATGGAGTACATTACCCAACAAGAAGCCTACAATCAACGTTTTCAATACTAGATTTTTATGATGCTTATTAATCACATATATTACAAAGACTAAAATAGTTTTTTTTTTTAAACAAAGCTGAATTTTTCATAAAAAATTTCTATTAAGCTACATATAAACTCTATATCAAGTAGTAAAAGAAATATATTATTTTTAATTATTGAAAATCAAGCTAAATAATAATAATAAAAAATACTTGAAATCTTTGTATACATCTTATTGTTAAAAATTCAAAACAAAATCTGTTATTCGAATCCTAAATAGAAAATATCAAACATATTCTCATTATGTATAATAAATAAACATTGCTAATGTGATTGTCTCATGTAAGACATTCAAGGTGTCTTTCAATAACAAATAGTGAATAATTACAGCAAAAAAAAATATTCTCTTATGTGATATATAGTTTGTGTGAAAAGATTGTATAAGGACAAATGTTGTAACCAAAATCATGACTGATCATTATTTATAATGTAATTTCGTCTATATTTGCTACCCACATATATCGAGAACAATTGAGTTACTAAAAATATTTTTCTATAAAAAACATATGTATATATTATTTTTCTTCTCATATATGTATATGATTCATACAATTATTCTCTATATTAGTTTATTGGACTGTATCATACTAAAATAAATACGTAACTATGCCATATAAATGTTATTTATATATACTAACGAAGTATCATAAAAACCTTTCAAGAAAAAATATAAGGTTGTAGAAATTCAAAATTAAAGTAGATTTTTTTCCTTCTTTTTTATATATATGGTGAGATAAGGTGTGGTGAGCTCATCAAGAGTATATGTTTTTTTATATTTTTTGGAATGAGTGGTTAGGAAATAAATATCAGTTTTTCTAATGATCCACTTGTTCTGAAAAAGAGATTAATTTTCAATAACCGACAAATTGTCAATTTTTTTTGTTTCATTCAAATTTTAAAACTGTTTGTTTCAGATTCACTGTGAAAAACTGAATCTAGAAAAGTCATTGATCAATAACTTTCCTAGATTCATTTTTCTGCAGTGAATCTGAATCAGACATCTTTAAAATTTGACGAAACAAAAAGAATTGACCATTTATCGATTATCGAAATGAGCTCGTCACACTCTATCTCACTATATATAAAAAAAGAAAGAAAAAAAACATCTAATTTTATTTTGAATTTTCACGACCTTACTTTCACTGTAAGTATTCATCCTTTTCTAGATGATTCTGATTAATATTTTTATTTGAACATAATACTTCCTCATCGGTTAATATAAAATGTATATTTATTCATCAACATATTGACAATTACTTTTTATATTCTCAATAACTCCTATATTTCGATATCGATACAGGATTATTCAAGTCATGTAACATTTAATAAATGAGATTTGAATTAATAGACACAAACTAGTGATTAATTCTTTCTCCAATTATGTTAAAGTATTTGTATGTGATAATGTAATAGATGTAAATAAATATATTCAGCTATATTCTAATCTTCGTATCACTCAATCACAACGTACAGGTAATATAAGAAAAGAAGTTATACAGTTCAATTTTTCGTTCTTTTGACCAAGGTCATAGCAGTATGTTATCATTTGAT